TGTAATTGACTTTGACAGAGGCGGACACTCCCTGATGACTGAAACTTCACCCATTCCATCTAGACTAGAATTCCTAGATTTAGTAGTCTTAGTCGTCCAAAGTTGTGTTCTTAGGCTTAGACCAGAAGACCATGAGTACACTGGACAACATTTCCAGAACTAAAAGACATTTTTTAATCTTTCATATTTTGGTTTTATGCTTTAAATAAAAATTTTATGTTTTCTTCTTTTTATATTTTATGTTAATACTTTTTGACTAAAACAGTATGCCCTCCTTTATGTTCTTTGTATATTTTCATGTTTTGAATTAAATTGAAGTTTCTTACCTGTACGCATAAGCTTTTAAACAGGGTCTGTAACCCAAAAAAAAAAAAAAACAGCTCTTGCAACTTCCATTTGAAGTTTATGATGGTCCTGTGCCAAACCACAAGTGATGCACTGAACTTGATGTTTATCCCTTTCAAAGTCTATACTTATATATATATATTTTATTCACCTTGTTTTCTTATTTTGTTGTTCCTTTGGAACAAAAGGGGGGAAAATTGTGAAAAAATTAATAAACTAACATGTATTGTTTAAATATTATTTAATCCATGCTCATTCTGCAGACTTTCAAAGTTGGTGTGTGTATGTGAACTCTGGTAAACTCTTGTAAATGTGAACTTTTGTCCTGCTCCTGCAAACGTCCTTGTATTCCACCACCTGCAGAAGAGGCAAAGATACAGAACTTTACGCTTTTCGTATCAAAATGTTTTTCTTTTTCAGAATGTTCTAGCTCATGAAAAAAGACTGTTACAAATCTAATTAAAAAATACCAGATCCACAATGTTTTTCAGAATGTTCTAGTCACATGGACAGAAGACTTGTTACAGAACACGGCTTCAACAAGAAGAATAACATCATCTCGTACTGATAACAAGAACTTGTGTATAGTGTCAACCTGAGGAACTTATCCTCCCCATTATGATAGAATTTTATTGTGACGCACGAAACATGTATAAATAATATGTACTGTCTCTTTAAGAACCCAGTGTGCTGTGTTCTGACCACGCAGGCAGCAACTCCTTTCTGCAGAAAGAATAAACCTCGCGCTCCGTTTTGAGCTAAAAGAGAAATGTCTCTGGTTTTCTTTTAAGAGTTTTTATTTAAGTTTAGAACAATTATTTATTTTCCACAATCATTAAACAGGGGTGGAGGCCTCCGGGTTCAACTGTCCCCCTCTTACAATGCTGTGATTGCTAGTATCACTCAGCCCTCTGTGAATAGTAAACAGCCATCAGTGTGCTAATGATCCATTGTTAGGCTGATGGTCCTTCTTGAGCATGTGATCAGCTGGTTTTGGTTGTCAGAAGCAAACTGGTTGATCCACTCTGAGAAGGTGCTATTTAAGAGACTGAGCTGAATACAGCACCTCAGACTGAGGAAGTCTCTCGGATGAGAGACGAAACGTTTCTACATTTTTTAGTTGATTTGCTTTGTTTTGTTTTTTTGAATGTCCAGAGGACCAGATTGAACTCTTTTAGAACAGGACAAGTTAATTTTACAGTGAGTACAAGCAAATCAGAAGCAAAAAGTATAATTAAACAAAAACTGAGGGAAAGGTGACAGAAAGAATGGGATGAAGATAACAAAGGAAGGTGGTATTACAGGATTCAAAAAAGAATAGGAAAAATGAGAGTAGGAAGAAAAAATAGAAGAGAGGAGAAACATTTAGGTTAATATTTGGACATAATGGACTTAACAGTTCACTGTACAGAATACAGCAACATAATACAGGAAACTGTCAATATTGTGGAGAAAATTAGACAATAGAACATATTATTTTAGTCTGTAGAAGATATGTGAGAGAAAGGAGATTAATGTTGGAAGAATTTAGGGAAAATAAAGAAAAGTTTAATTTAATAAATATACTACAGGGAAATTCAGATGGTAAAAGTACTCAGATTTCAATTAGATTTTTCTGGAAAACAAAGGTGATTAATAGAATATAGCAGAGAATAAAAGAGACATTTTGAGCCACACTCCATACCGGTAGGTGGCGGTAATGCAACCTCAATGTTTTTTGCCAACCGCCAATAAAACCTCAAGAACAACAACAACATTTCTGACGTACAGCGTAAGACGTCACTTCCGGGGACGTGTCATGGCGGCGGCCTTCTACAGATTCAGCGGAGCTTCTCAACTCAGCGACAGGTATTAATAACTCTTAAGAACCACGGGTTTGGTTCTGTTCGGTGTGCGCCGCGGGTTCACGGCAGAGCAGGATGGGCACGGAGGCGAACAGTGGCCCGGTTCGGGTTCTGAGCTGAGAAATGTTCCAGGAAGTGGCTGTTTTTCCCGCTGACAGTAAATAGAAGGTCAGAAATGAAACTATTAGAAACATGAGATAAAATGAACATAAACACTCGCGTTTAGTCTAAAATAAAATTCAGTTAAATGTGACTATTTTTAACTTCTCAGGTTCTGGTTCCGAAATATAAACCGGATCATTTTGATTCATAGATATGAAATATTCCCGGAGCAGAAATTAGCGTCCTGATCCATAGAACCTGTCCACCGGGTCCTGATCCATAGAACCTGTCCACCGGGTCCTGGTCCATAGAACCTGTCTACCGGGTCCTGGTCCATAGAACCTGTCCACCGGGTCCTGGTCCATAGAACCTGTCTACCGGGTCCGATTCCACTGAACCTGTCTACAGGGTCTTGGTCCTCTGAATCTGTCCATCAGGTCCTTGTCCCCTAAACCTGTCCTTCAAGTCCTGGTCCAATTAACGTCCACTGGGTCCTGGTACACTGAACCTGTCCATCAGGTCCTGGTTCACTGAATCTGTCCACTTGGTCCTGGTCCAATGAACTGTCCATCAGGTCCTGGACCAGTCCACCTGGTCCTGGTACACTGAACTTGCAGACCTTCATCATCGTTAGATTAAAAACCTGCTTACAGGATTACTTGAAACTGGTTTGACTGAGCTGCTTCTGTCCAGCTGGACTTGGTGTCCAGAACCAGATTAGTCTTGGATTGTCTGACACTAAGCCCAGCTGTCCTCTTTAATTCTCGTTTAAGTAATTCTGCTTTTTGTCAGATTCTGGATCTGCTGAACATGTTTTGTTGTAAATGCACACATCTGTATCTGACATCTCTCATGTCAGACACAAGGCTCACCTGTGCAGGTGATTAGGATAAACAGTGGCTCCGCCCCCTTCCTGAACATTGACAACCTTTTTGTATTTCAGGGTTTTGTTGCTGAGCTGCAGCCAATGTCGCAGCCTGAGCACCAGTGAGTTCCTTCACGTCCTCTGCTTGTTTTTCTTGTTGTTATTATTGTCTTGTTTTATTGCAGTTGTGTTGTTGCTGTTTCTGTTGTTGCTAAATGGAAACTGATCGCCTCAGTCATTTCAGGAACTATAGATTTTATACTGCTTAAAAAGATACTTTCCGTAAATGTTTGGGGCGGTTGAAGATTAATCCGTCACTTTGTGAAGCCTCGGACAAGGAAAAATAAAATAATACCTCCCTCTGTTCTTTGCCACAGTGTAACTGCTCCCCACTTGAATACCTTGCAGCAAAACATTTAGGTTTACACAATCCTCTGTTCAATTCCAGTCCAGAAAAAACATTCATCTCCAAAACTACATTCACTTTTCAAATCCCTCAGAGTGACATTGTAGTACCGCTTGTTGTTGTTGCTCTTGTGTTTATTTTTCTGCAACGGTTGTTGTTCTTGTAGCTGCTGATGTTGTTGTTTCTATAGCTGCTGTTAATGTTGTTGCTGTTTCTATAG